TTATATTGTTATAAACTTTCTCATTACTAAAATTGCGAACAAATTACTGATTTTGTCGAATATTGAATATTTACATGTAACTGAGTTGAGAAAGAAGTTGGCAAAGGTAGATGAGGAACTAGAGATCGAACGGAAGAATATGGCAGATTTAGAGGCCAGACAAGCTGCCTTGGCAGTCGAACAGGCCAGACAAACTGTTGCGTTAGCCGAACAGGCTGCCTTATCGGAGCATTTTTGCTGCGTTTATGTGGGCGTCGGGATATGTTTTCCCCCCTCCCCCACCTCCGGGTAGTTAGATTGTGTACATTTGAAGATTAAATTGTATGAATTGAATATTTTAAATTGTATGAATTGTATGAATTGGATATTTTAAATCGTATGAATAATTTGTTTACAGTTTTGGTTTGTTATATTATAGCCAAGTTTTTGTATAAATAAATACAGGAATTATGTAATTTCAAAAAAAAAATTAGATTAATACAAATTAGCGACGGATTAGCAAGGGAAAATTCATCGTTGAAAGTCCTTGAAAGTTCCATAGTTGATCCGTCGCTGAAAGTTCTCTCGTTGATCCGTAGCTGAAAGTTCCCTCGCTGAAGCTATTCTCTCGTTGATCCGTCGCTGAAAGTATCCGTCGTTAATCTGTCGCTGAAAGTATCCCTCGCTGATCCGTCGCTGATGTTATATCCCAGATCTGAAAGTAGAACGATTTACACTATAAGTTTGTAAGAGAAAGTAAATAAGGCAATTAAACAGAGAAACAGCGGCTGCTTTTCTTTTATTGAAAAAGAAATTACAAACTCTCAAGAAACCCTAATCGACTCTCATATAGTCTGAATCTATGTATTACAATGAAGTTTTTCTATCTGCTCTCATGTCTATTTCTCTATCTCAAACACTCTATTTATAGGCAGTAACCTACCAAACCTGGATAAGATTAATGYTATCCAAAACAGGAATAGCCTTATCCAGAATAAGAAAAMTGAAGGTAGTCATCTAAAAGATAACAGAGGACGGCATAGCCAGAGAGTCTCTTGTCAAATAGAACAGAGGCTCTGTTAGCATCAACAGAGGCTCTGTGACCATTCGCAGAAGCTCTGGTCTTCACAGAGGGGCTCTGGTCCGAGGGACTTGSAGTCCAAGAACTCTGCTYCGCATAGAACCTCACAGAGGCTTTGGTCTACACAGAAGCTCTGGTTATCCGGGACTCTTTAGCACAGAGGCTGGTCTTCTARACTTTAGACGTTTTGGCGCAGAACCTTCTTCAATTCGTCTTCTAGCTCTGGATTGCTTCTTAAAACTTTTTCAAAGCTATCATTAGCTTCAGAATGAAGCTAACAA